CCCTGCTGTTCCCGCGCGGCGCCGGCTGGGGGGGGCCATGTGGGTCCCTGCACCCCGAGCACCGGAGGGAGGGGAGGGCTCACTCTGTCCCCCCCTGCACAGGCAGCTCATGTCCCTCTGTGTGTGGATGTCTCTGTTGTATCTTCCCCGCTTTCTGTGCCCCTCTCCCAGACTCTTCTCCCAGCTCGCAGGCGATGCTGGGGCCTCAGCCGGGACCCCCGGACCCAGCGGGGGCCCCGGCCCGGGCTCTCCATCTCTGCACTGAGGCAGCCTCATCTCCTGCGCCAGCTCTCCTGATTCACACCCTCTCTCTCTCTGTCCCCGCACCCTCTCTCTGTCTCTCTCTCTCTTTCTTTCTCCTTTTCTCCTCTGCTCACAGGGTTTTGGGTTTGTAACTTTTGAAACTAGCACAGATGCCGACCGGGCACGGGAGAAGCTGAATGGCACCATCGTAGAGGGCCGGAAGATTGAGGTGCTCAGATAAGTGTGCTAGTGCCATGCCTGTGTGTGCGTGCGTCCCCTCCGCCCTGCCCGGGGGCCCTCTCCTGCTAGGGGCTACAGGCAGGGCAGAACTGCCTGGGGGCTGCAGACAGGGGAGAGCCGGGGCAGGGGACACTTTGGGGCAGCCCTGGGTCCTGCCCCGGTCCTGCATGCCCCAGGGGAGGCTTGCCCGGCGCGTGCATACGTCCGTGAACGCGGCACGGGAGCATGTGTGCTGGCTGCCGGGAAAGTTGTCACTTGGCGCAAGGAGCATCCAGCTCAAATGAACCTCCTGCGTGCGGGGAGAGCTGGGGCACCGGCCCGGGCTCTGGCTGCGTTTTGCCCGGTTACAGAGGGGTCTGGTGGACCCCAGCTGCCCGCAGCCTCTGTGTCCACCGCACAGCCGCCCTGAGCTCTGCAGGGAGGAGAGGGGCTCTCTGTTCCGTGTGCCATCCCCACCTCCCCTGCACCCGGGAGGGAAGGATGCTGCGCAGGGCTCCCACGCCCACTGTGCAGGCAGCTGCTGTGCTGCCCAGCCCCCGAGGCTTTTATTTCTTCAAGCCAGGCAGAGGGATCGGGCTCTGCCCATTTGTTGGCAGTACCTTGCTGATCACCGGCGAGCGGTGGGAAGCAGGGCAGCACGCGACAAAGGGAGCGGGACTCAAACGTCGCCGGCAGTGCTGAGCCCAGGGAAGGGCAGCCTGGCAGGGAACAGCGGTGCCCCGGGGCCCTGCCTATCGGAGAACGTGGTTCAACAAAGCTGGGCAGGAGCTCACGGGCGCTTGCAGGAGTGACCCAGGCTCCTGCCGCAAGTGCATCCTTCCTGCAGGCTGGGTCGGGCGTGGGGTGGGGACGGGAGGCGGCTGAGCCTGGCAGCAGCGTGTTAGGGCCCAGCCTGAGCGCAGCACCGCAGCGGTCGGGGCATTGGCTGCCAGCCTGACTGATGCTGGTTGCTGGAGCCGGGGCAGGAGCCGGGAGGCCTGGGCTGGCTGGGGGTACTGGCAGGACTGCGTCATGGCGGGGCGGCTGCAGGCAGACTCCTCCCACGTCTCCTCGCACGGCCAGCGTCCTTCGCTCCGGCATCTGAAGCAGCAGCAACACGCGCCGAGTGTGGCCGAACGGGCCTTGGACCGCGGCCTCACCAGCCCCACTGCCCGCAGGCGCTGAGCTCCTGTCCCCTCTCTCCGCAGGTGAACAACGCCACGGCCCGGGTCATGACGAACAAGAAGGCTGCCAACCCCTACACCAATGGTAATGGCCAGCACAAGGAGAGCCGGAGCTGCTGCGGGCAGGGGTATCCCTGGGCACCCGTGCTCCCTCGCTGCCAGGCTGCCGCTGAGCTCCTGCAGCAAAAGCCTTCTGCACCCTTGGGCGGATGGGAGAGTGGCCGCTCCCTGCCCAATGTGGGGGTGCAGCCCCCCCCAGGCACCCCACACCCTGCAGCTGCCCGGGGATGGGAGCTGTGGCCCCTTGGAGCCCCACTGGGGGGTGGGGGGAGCGCCACGGGGAGGGTGCCCCAGGCCTCACCGGCTCTCCCTGCCCGCAGGCTGGAAGCTGAACCCGGTGGTGGGAGCGGTCTACGGCCCCGAGTTCTACGCAGGTAACGTCGGGTCGGGGCTGGCCCTGCCGCGAGTCCCCCCCGAACGAGCAGGCAGCAGGCCTGGGGGACGGAGCTGGCACAGGATGCCCCACGGTATCTGCGGGGGTCCCAGCCATGCGCTGTGGGGAGGTGCTGCAGAAAGCCCCGAGGGGCCATGTCCCCAGCAGGCCTGGGGGACAGAGACAGGGTCTGGCACAGGATGCCCCACGGTATCTGCGGGGGTCCCAGCCATGCGCTGTGGGGAGCTGCTGCAGAAAGCCCACGTTTGTCCCCTCCCTCCTGCAGTAACGGGGTTCCCGTACCCCGCCACGGGGACGGCCGTGGCCTACCGAGGGGCACACTTACGGGGACGAGGACGCGCCGTCTACAACACCTTCCGGGCTGCTCCGCCACCGCCACCCATCCCCACCTACGGCGCGTGAGTACCTGGGCAGCGGGGGGCACTGCCTGCCTCAGGGTAGGGGGTCCATTTGCTGCTGCATTGCTCCGATTCTGCTGCCATCAGTGTCGGCATTGCCGGGCTCTCGCGCTTCAGGAACGGGCTGCAGCTCCCCCAGCACCTGCCTGGCCTCAGGCCCTGTGAAACTCCCCAGGCTGCTGCCCCTCAGGGTGACTCATGTGCCTCCTGTGCCCCAAAGCACGGACTGTTATTCCAGCCGTGTCGGTTTAATAGAAATACTCTCTCTCCCGGCACACACGGCCACACTGGTGTCAGGCACAGCCATGGTGATCTGTGGCCACTTGGTGCTCCCAGCAGTGATCATGTCCCGGACCTCTCCATCCCTGTGGCAACCCCTGCTCTTGGCCATGCCCTCCACCCGTCCCCACGTCCCTGCCTTCCCTGCCAGGAGTCCCAGCCCGGGACATGCCCTCGGGCTGCCTGGACAGTCGCTCCTCACCCCTTGGCTGCGCTGCTGGAAGCAGCTCCCCCAGTTCACCAGCTTCACCCCGATCCCTCTCGGCCGGTGACACAGGCCAGGCTCTGATGCTTCTACCTCGTTTGCAGGGTCGTCTACCAGGACGGGTTCTACGGAGCCGAGATCTACGTAAGTGCCACTGTGCCCAGATCTGGGCCACACCGGGGACCCTGTGCCAGGGCGGGGGATGAGTGGCACCGGGTGGCTCCATCTCTTGCTCTGCCCCCTGCCAGCCCCTTCCCCTGGGGAGGGCAGCCAGAGCCCAGGTGGAGTGCGGATGGGAGCACAGCTCCTCCAGAGCGAGTGGGGTGGCACCGCACGGGGTCCTGTGCCCCCAGCCGGGGCCCTCATGGGGCCAGCACCACGCAGGATTTACAGCCTCGGCAAGCGCCGGTGTGCTGTCTTACACCAGCATTTAACCTCCATATTTAAGAAGCCATTGGCGATATTTCAGGCGGGCGGCTGAAGGATTTATCTAACGTGACACCTCATTAAAGCGATCAGGGAGGTGACATTCTCTCCTCTGGAAATTTAATTTTTTAAGGTTAATGTTTGTGAAAGCCCCTGGGGAATAGTAATGAGGCTGCTGTGTGCCTGGTGGCACAGGCACCGGCTCCCTGCGGGGTCCCACTGCTGCTCCGTGGCAGTGCCCAGGGGGTGCCCAGCTGCCCCGGCCCCCCTGAGCCTCCCCCAGCGGGTGCTGCCCCCCTCCCTGACGGCAGTCTCTCCCTCCCCTGCAGGGGGGCTACGCCGCCTACAGATACGCCCAGCCCGCAGCAGCAGCAGCAGCGTACAGCGACAGGTAAGCACCGCTGCACCGTGGGCATCGTTCCCAGGGGTGGAAGCCCCGTTTCACCCCCTGCACCGCCTGGTCTGACCCACCCCAGCTTTTGTGCCCCACGGGACGAGGATGGAGCCAGGCATGATGAGGGTATCCTGCAAATGGGGGGCCCCTGCGCTTCCCTTTGGGCTTGTCCTGGCAGGGACTGGTGCCCAGGCACGGAGAAGCAGGGAGGTCCTGGGGGGCTCCCAGGCACAGCAGGGGGAAGCAGCGGCTGGGCAGGGGGGCTGCTGAGGGTAGACAGGACCCCGACCCCGGTCGCTAACGCCCACTGCTGTGTTTGCTTCCAGTTATGGCAGAGTGTATGCAGCGGCAGACCCGTACCACCACACCATCGGCCCTGCCGCCACGTACAGCATCGGCACCATGGTAAGAGCAGCCCCCGTGGCCTTTCTTTGCTTCCTGGCGTGAGCTGCAGCCAGCCTGGGGAGGGGCCCCGGCATGGCTGCGGGGTGCGGGGGCAGGCGAAGGGTGTGGGGCAGCCCCACATGTGAGGGCCATGGGAGGGGGAGCCGGGAGCTGGCAGCAGCAGCAGGAGCAGCGCAGCCCCTGCCTGGCTATCCACAAGCAGGCAAGAGAGAAGGCCCCCCCCGTGCCTCCACCCTATGTGCCCCGTTACACCTGGCCAGAGGCACCCCGCGCAAGTCGCCCACGCACACTGCTTCCCAGGGGCCCAGCTGCCCCCCCCCCTCACGCCGGCTGCCTGGGCAGCACCCCAGGGACCCCCTTCCTCCTCCCTGGTGTGGGGCGGTGTCCCCAGGCCCTGGTGCGCAGCCACGTGCAGGGAGCACGCGTGCGCACCAGCGTCTGCAGCCCACCTGCTCACCGCGGCTCTTAGCTAGCTTCACAACCAGCATCAAAGATGAAAAATCCCACTCATGGGCGCGATCTCAAAGCCAACCCGTCTTTTTCTTCCTTTTTTAACCCCCCGACCCCCAGCTGCGGCCAGGCTGCCGAGCACCCCTCGGCACCCCTAGCCCTGGGCAGCCGCGAGCGAGGGGCCACGGCCCCTCCGTCCTGCAGGGATGGGCAGGGCAGGTACCAGCCCAGCACCGCAATGGGGACGGGGACGGCCTCCTCCACGGTCACTGCAGGCAGGAGGAGGCCTCGCCACAGTGGTGCTGTACTGGGGGCACTGGGGCTTGGGGCACCCCGCAGCCCCCAGCCCATGCACCACCCCAAGGCAGCACCCGCAGCCGTCCCAGAGCCAGGGCAGCGCTGGGCACCCTCAGCCCTGCCCACCCCTCACGTCCCAAGGACAGAAGTGATTTGGTGTCATTTTAAAGAGGAGGAAAAAAAAAAAAAAGAGAAAAAAAAAAAAAAAGGGAAGAACTGGGCTTTGCCTCTCTCTCGAATACTGATTGGCTTTTTTTTCATCTTTGATGTTGCAGGCTAGTCTATACCGAGGAGGGTACAGCCGCTTCACTCCCTACTAGCAAGACAGACACAGCCCCTCCCACCACTAACACTGACTGCTCACTAGCACCAAACCAAACCAGGCAGACAGAGCCGAGGCCGAGCCTCTGGAGGAACCGCGGGCCCTGCCCGGGCGGGCTGGGGCTGGGCTCTGCTGAGCCTTGGCAGCCCACACCCGTATGGTTACCTCAAGCTGCTCCGTCCCGCTGCCCGCCTGCGTCTCGTGCACCGTCCGCCTGCCCCGGCGCAGCCCTGCGCCTCGGTGCTGCTGAGCGCCGCGGGACCCCGGGTGGCTCCTGCTCCCAGCATCCCTGGGGACTGCGGGGAGCGGGGCTGGCCCTCAGCCCCAACGGTACCCCGCTCTCAGAGCTGGGTCACGGCGTCCCCCAGGCAGCTGCCAGCCCAAGTCCTTGGCGGGCGCTGCCCTTGCTGGGGGTGCAGAGGACTCGTCTCCCCCGCGAGGCAGGAGGGGATGCTCTGCCTGCAGGCATGGGGGGGCACGGCACCGACAGCAGCCCTGGAGCAGCCCCTCTGCCCCCCATAGGAGAGACAGGAGCCGGTAGGGGCTGCTGCATGCTCCTCGGGGACGGAGCCAGGCTGGGGTGGGTGCGGGACCCTGGGGACAGCCCCCCTCGGGGCAGCAGCGCTTCTCAGGGGCCGACTGCGCTGCTCTGCGGAGGAGCTCCGGTGCAGCAGGCTGGCTGCGCAGGCGTGGGGTGCAGTGCAGGGCCTCAGGGGGCCAGACTGGCACCCACATCCCTCCCGGCCAGCGGCTCAGCCAGGCTGCCCCGCATGCTGCTCCAGCAAAAGACCTCCCTGCCTCTCTGTTGCTGTTGTAGTGAAACCGCGGCCGTTTCCTTCTGGGACCAGGAAGGGCAAAAAAATCCACACACACACAAAAAAATCAAAAATAAAAAAATTAAAAGCAAAGCAACAAAAAAAAAAAAAAGCAAAGCGGCAACAGCCAAGTGAAAGTCCCATACTGTCCACA